GCATCGTAGTCGGCATCATCAGTGAGTCTTGCCATTATCTACTACTATGGCAGACGACTTCGGACTAGGTACGTTCTACATAGTCGCCCTGGCAACAAGACCAAGTTGTGGACAACAAGGTCAACCCACTTCTATCAATCTAAAGGAGAATGCGACCACACCAGAGGCCACAACATCTTGGTCTTCATATATAAAATGCAGCAAAGTCTCATTTGAAGCAATCCTAGTCTCCTATTTACGGCACACTTATGCATTCGAGCCTGGAAGGCACTTTTGGCCAGCAACAACAGAAAAGAGACAAGGAAATCCGTCTAATAATCAACTTAAACTGATTATAAATGCTAGTGCTTTTTAGTGTATGATATAAATATAAGCTTGTCAAACGTGTAAGCTGGGACATCTGTGGGTTATCACAAGCGAAGCATGTATGAAGTCACTGACTTTGAACGGCATTACTCTTGAATCACCCACAAACCAGCCACTTTAGGCTTGCATTTTTGCAAATGCATTATCACTACGGGCTTTCGGACTTGCTAATTTTGGTCGTAGATATGATATTCTAGTCTCTGTTTTGGAAGCACAGTCTCCTTTTGATGTACAGATGCGACGGGATAGGAGGTCCGAATCGAATCAGCAATTCCGGCAAATTGAGATGTTAGAATTACGAGTGAATCAATCTTCACGGGATAAATATTATACAATCTAAACACTCTTCCAATGAATTAATTTGGTTTAGTACAAATCAAAAGGATAAATTCCAACCTGCAAATCGCATATCATAAGGAAAACTTGTAATTCATCTGGCAATACAGATATTGGAAAGTTTATAGGAGGAAAGTTAGATTGAAATTTGGTACATAACTCCAACTGTTTCGAGTCCTATTTCAAAAGTTCATCTAAACAGACACACTCAAGACGAGATGGGATAAAAGTTAAACCGAGGTTTTCAAAATATCCAAGCGAATTAACAGGTATTTAAAAAAACTATATTGCTTTTATGTAGGGTGATGAAGGTTTCCATAAAAATTCTGCTAAATGTGTTTCGAAGCGATGGCTTCATTTTGCCATCGAGATTCTGTCGAGGTTAATATTGAGGCCGCGGGCGAAATCCGGCAGTTGGATTGACTCGTCTTTGTCCGAAATACCAATCAACCGATGCAGAATCCGAGAAGGATCCCTCAGAGCAGACGCAAGGGTGCTCTGTAGCGGGTCCAATCAGTCCGTTGTAGTGCTGACTACTTGGCTGACACCTTTATTTTGCATTTCACCCATTTCAGGCACGAAAAAATGGTACAGACAAAACAAGCAGACCTCTGCAAGCTCAGAGAAGAGCTCTCTCTGCAGCACTCCACATTGACCCAACTCGAGGCCCGGCTGACGAGAGTCTCAATTTCTGTTGAGCACGTCTACGCCAAACTCTCTTTGGTTCGGGTCATCTCTAAACGAGACCGGGCCAAAATGGCGTTGGGCGTTCATACTCCGATTGAAACGAATCCGGAAGAGCTGTTGAAGATCTGCCTAAACATCAAGAACCAATTGCTCATCGATCTCGAAGACTATGATCTGCAGGACGAACGCATCAAATATGAAGAGGATCTGGTAAGCCAAACTAAGATCTACACGCGTCGGCATCACGGATGCATATACCAATTAATTATTTTATGATATAAGATTATGTATATCATATTATAATTGTGGAGCTTACTTCCATTTTGAGTGAAAGTGTTTGGTCTAAATATTCGAAAGTCGATTCCACCAAAAGACGACGGCAGATTTCTCTTGACCTTGATGGAACATTCTTGTTAACGCCTTCTTCCGAGGTAAACCCGTTCGATTCCGGTTAAAAGGTGCTAGTCCAACATCCTCAGAGCAAGGTATCCAATTTACAACCAAATGCAAGCTAACGAGTCAAGAAAACTTCCCCAACTTTGCCTGAATTTGGCTGTAGGGATGCTGCCTTGCTCTGATGATATTCTTCATGTGACGGACGAAAGATTAACACGTTTTAACTGGAGTCGAAGGAGATCACCTCGGAATCAACGTCACAATTAATGTTCTAGTAAAGTCAATCACCAAATGGTCAAGAGGAATCCATCGTCGTCTTCTGGTGAAACCGACCTTTGATTCTCTTCACTCAACACTTTCACTCGAAATGGAAGTAAGCTCAATAATTGTGAAACAAGAGATTCCTCGGAACCCAACTTTTCTTCGCATATCATATTATGTGCTTATATTATAGTAGCAATATTTATGCTTATATAATACCGAATATAAAAACAATTGTATGATAAATTAATAATGTTATTTAATCACAATACTAATTATAATCTAATAATATGACAATATGCTATAGTGTGTTTTAATTTAAGTTTAGTTCATCAACTAATAATACTCATAGAAGTTGTTTGACCTTATTTTCGCAACTTGGTCATATTGGTAGGAAGACATAGATGAATGCATGATAATGCTTAGGAATGTACCACGTCCACGGTCGACTTTGGAAATGATGATGCATACAATGTACTCCGGACTCGGTGCGTTCCTCTAAGTCTTCCTACCAACATGACCACGTTGCGAAAACATGGTCAAACAACCTCTATACAACGAAATGAGACTGCGACCGTACAAAACGCCACACTATCTTGATCTTCATATCTTCAAGTAATAATAATTATAATTATAGCTTACAATGCCTATAGCAATTATGCTTTAAGGTATCATTCTGTTATTGCTGGTGGGAAAATGCTATACGATGGGACCAGCTATTGCCCTTTTTTAGCCAGAATCCGAAATATGTCCTTGTTAATAGCACTTAACTCCGTTTTCAATCGAAAGCATGGACTTCGTTGTGGTCGCGAATGCTTGATTGTGCAGAAACTCCAACAGCATGAATGGGAAAATATCAAAATTAATCATTCCTTCGCAAGTCATTTTTCGCTCCTGCACACCAGATGGATCCCCACCCCTTCTGGCGAGGTCGGTTTTCCCACTTTGGCTCGATTTGG